CATCAAGTGCCCAGGCTACAGAGAGGTCCTAATCGTCTCTCTGGGATCCTAATTCCAAGGCCCCCTGGGGACAACCACAACAAGAAAGGTGAGCTCCGAACGAGAGGACTCACCCAATGGGAACATTGGCAAAGGGGCGACCTGTATGGAGCACTTCGTCCCCACAAATACACGAAGTGTATTCAATAATTGGAATGCTCACCTTTTAACAGTTAATCCTGAAAATTTTAGCTTATAATTCCTCTTTATGATCCGGAAAACGAAGGAAATTTCTGATTTTCGAATACTGTGAAAACGCGCCTTTCGCAAGGAGCAGTCTGCACGTGCGAAGCATGAAACGGACCTTGATGATTTTCTGTCATGTATCATTCTCAACTCATAATATGTTAGATGTGAATAAACAATTGAAACTGAAATTCAATCCATTATTTGAAAAAACTTCCAAGACCCAATCGTCACAGATTTGATTTTAATAGTCCGTATTCTTTCTTACCCTATAGTAAGGGCATAATAAAAGCACGGACATGCATACTTGAATCCCCGGGACTTGAATAAAGTGAATTTCAGAGGCCGCGGCGCCAAGTCCTTCTTCATAATACAGTAAGTGAACTCAAAAATAACTTTTCATGTCTCAAAGCGCTCAGTACAGGCACATGCACACAATATTGCAAAAACAGATGTCGTTCGAGGCACAATATAATAAGAATATTAAGTTATATTAACTATCGATATACCAGATAAATACCGCACCGGAATCATGAGAGAGCAACTCTGATCCCAAAGGGAAACACACTGGGCTAAGACGATTTGGTGCGGAGGAACCTTGACTGTGAAGTGCCAGACGAGAGAGTCAAAACGGCTAAAGTGACGGTACATGCGAGAGGATATCGAAAGTTCAAGAAGAGGAGAAAGCAGCGACATTCGAGAGAAGGGTTGCACTGTTGTAGATCAATGTTCCAAGGACGGAGTTTAACCAAGAGCGCAACATCTCTTCGTGGAAGATCTGTCCAGAAAAACTCAAACGCGTAAGGCTTGTATGCAGTTTGAAGATCAAGTTAGCCCTTCCTAAACGGTGATCTCGTCATTACGGCTCAGCAAAAATTCCAATTCATGAAGAAAAATCCAGGCTATAAGTAACAAACATTTTGTTCCACGAAGAGAAGACTATGAAGTGCTATTTTGCTGAGCTAGGCGCGAAAATATAGGCATCAACTGTAAATGTGATAGCTGGCATCTAATTGGCTGAGCGAAACAATTAGTGTGACAGGGTCGCATGCAGGAAGTGACCCCTAAAAGGAAGTTAGCTGGTTCCATTACTGGTAAGGGCGGGTTTATGGTTATCACATTAAATTTAATTTATCCTGTTGTATAAATTAGCTTTAGTATTAGTATTATTACTTTTGAATATGCAAGGGTTTTTTACATGACTATCAATACATGTCTTCGTGAATAAAAATGTTTCATTTAATTATAGTTTTTGTCTTGGTTGTTTGTCAAAACCTCTTTCTTATCGCTTTGCCGGTTGTTTTTAGTCGTACATAAATCGCATGCAGGAGTACTCAAAATGCTGCGTGTATGAAATAGGTTAAAAGACTATGGAATTTTATAAGTAAAATGCCAACGGAATAGTTCCGAGCTGAGACCTCTTCCTATTAGGTGTGTTCGACTTTTTTAATAAATACTTTTATTTTGAGGCGTAGCTCTATGATCTCGTACTGTTTACTTAAACACCCAACAGCTCGCATTGCAAGTTTGGCGCTTCGCAAAATTCAGAAGTAGCTGACCGGACAGGTGATTTTGGAAATTGAATTAAAATAATATTTTTTTCAAAGTATTATTTGCTTAAAGCATATATTGTTACCCTGCTTACTACTTAACCCTAACTAAAACCTATACTACTTTCCACATTTTCTTTTCTTTTTAGTTTTCTGATCATTTATTTTTTCTCTTTGGCTTCACCTATCCCCTTTATTCTCACTGCTGATTCTGTAAACCTTCGCGAGGATTTTGCGATAACGTATTTAATTCTAGTATATATTTTTCAGGTCACTGAAAAGCTCCATCAACGGGCAAATAAGAAAGAACCTGACAAGTACGACTTTATCCGTCTGGCCTGTCGCGTGGAAGAGTTCACTTTGCGTTTCCTGGATTCTTTAAGTTATGATGAATACGATCGAAAAATGTTTTTCATCAATTCTGAAACAAAGGTTCTCGTGGAGACTGCAATAAAATTTGAACAGAAAAAGGTATTACTGCAAAACAGGGTAATATGCAGCACGGTATCATACTTATCAATGACAATTTACTGACAACTTATATAGACCTTTTATTAACCGGGAAAATGGAGCTGATACTGATCTTTATTATATGGCTTCCTGTTTCCGAGACCGGAAACGAGTGCGGGACACGCGATTTGAAAGGCATTTGACAGCGGTTAAAAAAGAAAGTTTTTATAGGTCACGAAAACAATGGCACAGACAAAGGCTAAGGGAAAGTGAAAACAAATGTGTCTTGTTTAACTATTAGCGCTATTGAACTAAGAGCGCTGTAAGTTTTAGCTCGCTAAAGTAAGCATAACGCTTGAGTATTTTGGAAGCTGGGCAATTTTTCTGTCTCAGAAACTCTTCCATCTTGCCCTCGTTGGTCTTTGCAAAAACACTGCAAATAACAAAGAAGCTTTTCAAGGTTCGCTCGTTAGTTTTCTTGAGCAAAAACGCATTGAATCCCTGATCGACAGTGCAATGTCGTCTTTTTATTGTGATCTGCGTTAAAGATTTCAAACACTGACTAGAATCTTTGTGATGCATTTAGATTAAACTTTGGAAGGACGAAGTCAACATCCCAGTACTCAGGATTAACAGATATATTTCAACTTTCTTTGCGCATCATTTTTTTCCGAGATTAAAAGATTTAGCGCTGGAAATTAACCATCTATTTTCAGCATTTTCAGGTTCGTACAGTACGTTAATATGGGCCACAAACTTGCCAATAGTAGGGCGGGAACAGACTTTGCATATAATATTAAGGGTATGTATTTTGCATTGCAGTTCTTTGATCACCCTGTCATCATAGACTATCTGAAGAATAGTTGGTATGGTGGTTGCTATCAGTACGAATTACCAAGACGATGGTGGTTTTTCCTTTCCGTTTGCTGTCTATTCGATGTTTTCATTTTCCCGCTTATATCTCTCCTCACCTTTGCTGCAGGTAATTGAGTTTATTAAATAGGATTTCATAAAGTATCAGTTAGGGTTCGATTCCCTGTCAATCCTATATTTTCAGGGTCTTTTTTAAGTGCTTTAATTGTTCATTCTTTTGCAAAAATCAAGTTCACTTTCATATCTTTGTCCACAGTTTAAAATATAATTATTTTCATAGATTTCAATTCATTCCTTCCATCGTTACCAGCTTCCTTCTGTTTAGATCTCACGTTTGCATTCTGTCTGAACTTATTCTAACACTGCCCAGGTGTTTACTACTTAAAACTGTATTTACTCCATTCAACTTCCTTTAGCCTTCTCACATATTCTCGGTTGATCCCGGCTAATGTTTCATTTCCCGATGCATCATCATGCCATCATCCCGAAGAACCGTCCATCAAAAATCCATCAAAATCGACTGTTTTCATTTTCTCTCCACCTCTATTCGACTATTCTCACAAACTTGAGAATCATTCCTTTCTTCACAACGAAAAGCACCACTCATCTTTAAGTCTTTAGACCAAACTTACATGATTAAACGAGACTTACCTGTCAGTTGAAGTTTGATCGAGATTCTATCTTGTCATCAGTCTGGAACGAAGGAGTCACATGAGATGCGCATGCGCATTGCTAGTCAGACTTCAAAGTAAGTGGTACAGAAAAAAAGGAACGAAGGAGGAAGGGAGGGAGGAATAAGGGCATGTGACGCCCTCGTTCCGGACTGATGACAAGATAGAATCTCGATCAAATTTCAACTTACGGGTAAGTCTCGTTTAATCATGTAATTCTAACGTCATCAGTCTACGTCACTACGAAGTCACATGAGATTTCAAAGTCCTGTAACACGAACCAGTAATACAAGTAAAACAGTATTTTATCAAGAGAAATAAAATCCCAAACAAAAACAAAACAAGAATACAAGATACAAAACTAGCAGATCACTTGGCACTTAGATTCAACAGTACAGAGCCAAAGTTAGCTTAAGTATTGGACACTGGCTTATCATAGAACCTCGCAAAGGTACTCGCAGTTGACCAACCTGCGCTCTTCATAATTTCAGCAATGTTCAAACCGTTAACCTAAACATTGGAAGTAGAAGCAGCCCTGCAGCTATGAGCAGAGTACTTAGTTATGTCAATCCCTGCAGATTGCAAAACTTGCTTAACCCATGGGAAACAGTGTCCCTAGCTACTGGCTTAAAGGGTTTGACATAGCTTAATAATTAACAATTGATGAATAAGGCTGAGTATCTTATGAAGAATTATGGAGATCATATGATACGAAAGCCGAATTCAATAATTGTTTTATTATTCATTCAAAATAATTCCTAGTTTAAAAACATGGCTAAAACATGCTAACCTCCATCGATCCATCGTTGTTAAGTTCATCTTCGATAGTGCACGTTTATGTTTGTCCAGCTCCGAAAATATTCTCCAAATAGCAGATGTCGTCCTTCGAGTTGTCTTCTTGCTGTTAATGCCATGTTTTTATCCATGTTTTTGCCTATTTCTTACTCTTGAAACGAGTAAAATGTCCGCCATTTTTCAAGTTCACAATCAAAACAACTCAACCTTGTCCCCAGGTCTTCTCCGTTAACGGTGCCTTAACCTGCGAAAACGCTACATTTCTGACGTCATTTCCTTGTTAAACATAAAATTCTTCCAAATTTGGTCATCAGTAACTTGTTATGGTGAATTAAACGAGTGCTTTTAGCCAATCAGAATCGGGAAAATATTTTGAATGAATAATAATAACTGAGAATGATCTTTACGCAAAGGGTCAGTTCGATGGATATATTCCCTAAAATGTTGCACCACACAAAGTTTTTTTGTCCTCTGGAAAGGCCAATAGTTCCATAGGCTCTAAATGTCTGCCTGGTTTAGCCTGCTTTACCTTCTCATGGACAGAAATTCTATACCGATCATCCAAGTCCTGTATGTAGTTAATGTCAAACTTATGAATAACTTTTCCACGCTGGCCAGTGGTAAGACACAGCAACATGGTTAACTTGAGCGTGAGTTCCTTAAGCGGTAAAGCACTTGAAGCACCAAAGGTCTTCAAATAATCCAACACAACGCGAACATCCCATATCTCCTTGTAACGAACCAAAGGGTGATCTCCAAACTTTTCATTGTTTTCCAAAATAAGGAGGGAAGAAAGGGCAGAGCCAGGTGGTGTGCGCACTACGATTGCGATGCATTGTGGATGCAAAATTTTCAAGATGGCGGCGAAGGTCGAGAAATTTCGCAGGTTATATGCTTTGTTTTTCAATAGATATAGTTATTTCCTTAGATCGTTTTTCTCAATTTCGTAAGCTAATATTTGTTTAGATTTTTTCTGTGAAGAAAAACAAATCTTTATTCTTCATTTCAATATAAAACGTGAGGCACAAAGATTCCTCCTGTAAGAGCATGAAATTTGAACCCGGTTTTTAAGATGCTATAATTTCCATTATATTGCCCGTCGAAAGTAGGAGATAGTTTTCAGTGATTCTACAAACCTTGTTCTACGCTAGAGGGGAAAGGAAATATAAAAAGTGGAACAATGGGGCAGTAAAACCGTGCGACTAAGAAGCTGAATTAACCAAGTAAGCCTAAACAGATTCTTATATAAATAGTAGTTAGCACAAGTTTAGGCTATTTGTGTTTTCAATGGGTTCATATTTTCTGAAGAAAAAATATAGCTAAGAGCATTTGTGTTTTACCTTATTCCTCATATAAAGTCTGCATACCAAATTAGAAGTTATGTGAGAATGGACATAAAAAGAGGAATGTATTTCATTTGTAATTATTGTATCAATATAACAATTTTATTTCATTTAAACATTGGCATTTTACATTGCAGTTGGTGTGGTAAGACAGCTTTGTCTCCAAAGAAGATTCTAAATTTTGATTTATCTTTGCTCAAGTGTACAGAATTTTTTCATAAATTTCAAAAATAAGAACCTGTTTCAAATTTTAGGCTGAACAGGTTTTTATATAGAGGGGGCTCATCTGGCAGAATTTAAAGCCTAACGGGTTCTTAAAATTCAGGTTCTAAGTCACAGGGTTTTACTGTACTACCAGGATCCACCACTGCAATAACTGATAACCCAAAAGCCCTCTTTACAGACAACTGCTTAATACAGACACCTCATCAAGGCTATGCTCTAGCAGGGCCCGGTGGCCCCTGGCGCTTAACGTTTCCTCTTGGGTGACTAGAAAATCTCACACTTTTCATACAAATCATATGCTGGGCAGCCTAGATTTTACAGGTTCAGAGAACTGGGCTCCTTTCAATGTTCCGTAGAGCACAGCCTTGCTCATCATTACAGACAGCTTGCTTTGTTCCCTGGAAAAAAGCCCTTAAAATAAATTTTCTCTAAGTTAAAATGGACAATTTCTACTGTCAACTCAGTGTCCGTATAACATGGTTTGACTGTAAATATAATGAGACCTATGACACCACACTTGAATTGGAAAAAATTGGGAGGAGGGAGGGGCATTACAAAAAGGGAAGGGGTCTCCCGCTATGTTCCCCCAGCCCTGATTACAGGAGACTTGTAAACATGTATGAATTTCACATTTTGAAGAGTTTTTATAAAACAAAAAAACATGTAATAACATGTGTTTGTAAATACTGACACAATCATTAAACAACTAGTGGCTGAATAGCTTTTAAAATCTATTGACTGCATCAGGTTTTGTAATCACAAATATGCCATTTTCAGTTTCAATCCAGTTATGAGACATTCTATGACTCATACCAATAAGAAACATATACGCAAATTTGCAGTATTGCTTGAACAAAGGTGTTCAATATTATCTATAATGAGAACATAAGTCAAACCTTGTACACAAATACTCTCTACTTTATTTACTTGTCTTCATGTGATGATAAATACAGATGTATTAAAAAAAAAACGAAATGCAGACTTGGTGCCAACAGGGAACTAAGTCCTTGAAAAGATGACCCCCTCAACTTCTCTTATTATACCTGGCAAGTGAACATCTTGCAATGCTGAATGACAAAATAAAGTAAGCTTACTGTGTTTAAATACCGTGGCCGGCCCTGCCCTGGTATATTTCTGAAGAAGCTCCTAGTATTTTATGAGTATATCACGGTTATGCATATCAGTACCTCTTAGCACTAGATGCACTGATTTCACGGTGAATTCAAAATTTTCGGCGAACCGCGGGTCTTACCTTTAGTGCTTTTCATGATTGGAGCATTGAACAAAGCGTTTCTGTGCAGACTTTTCTCGGTCAGTTGCAACAGGATGCAAGTGATTACGAACAAAATACACCAGAATACACTTATCAACGGAATGAGACTGTCTTTTTCCCTGAAAATTCGACAGACTTTGTTTTTCAAAAGCTTCCGGAGGAGATTCAAAGCAAAATCGTATATTCCTGCAGCGTAATTAACGAATATTCACTCCGCAGTCGAGATGTTCACTCCACGCCATCTTGACACAAATGATCAGATTTTGAATACCACCCATGATGCTTAGCGATCGTAGTGCGCACACCACCTGGGGCAGAGCGGACCGTGTTTACAGCACTGTAACCAAGACCAGCCTTGTATAAGGAGACAAGAAATTCGACACCATTGTGTACTCCTGGTTGAAATAAATCAATATCCTTGTCATCACAGTACTGTCTCCAGCGCTTTAAATATGTGTGGTACTGCTCAGAAGTACCATCTCTCCAAGAGGCCATAAGGACATCTTTCGCACTGGATGATAAATTGTATTTTCCTAGACTTTCCCTGATAAGAGACAGACTAGAAGGTTCAGTTTGTGCCAAATTGGGTGTACTTCCTCTGGATGACTTGCTAACCGGAGTAGGTCCCTTCCTGCTTTGAGGTAAATTGGTTCCTGTTTCAGCATCTCCAGAGCTTTGGGATACCAACCTTGGGCTGGCCAATCCGGCAACACGACAACTCCTAGAGCTTCCTCTCTCTGTATTTTGCTCAAAACTGCGGGAATTACACTGAAACATGGAAACACGTAAAAATCCAGTTTAGACCATTGTAAGGAAAATGCATCTATGGCGAAAGCTTCAGGGTCTGGTCTGTACGAAACATACTTCGGGAAAAGGTCATTAATGCGGGAAGCAAATAGGTCAATGTCAGGCTCAAAATTTAGCCTTAAGGTAATTCCTTAGTAAAAGAACCTAACATAGATTGTACATGAAACTTGGTACGCTGATGTAACAAATCAAGAAGATGATAAAAAAGTAATAAAACGTGGGGGTCACCGTGCTTGTTTTGATGTCACAATGCTGACAAATACGGCTATTTAGGACTCTTTGACAAAAACCGCGCGCAGCCCAAAACTAGACAAAAACGAGAGATTTTTTCCATGATGCATGTGGTATCGCACAGAATTTGACTTTAATTATAATGTATTGTTTATCCACTCACGTACCAGAAAAATGCCTTTTAATGCCCTTGTTTTTACTTTACGCTCCAAAGTAAAATTAAATTGGACTCGCGCTATTCGACCCGTGAAAACTAAATCCGTACAATTTAGTAAAATTGCCAAAAAACTGAGCATAGATTTGTGCCAATTTTTTTCTCATCGAAAGGAAGCCCTATCCTTATTAAAATCATGAAATAAAAAATGGGGATCACCGTACTCGTTTTTGCGGAAGAGCTGCAGAAAGTGCGTATCAAATGCATTTTCTCCGATTTTTGAGAGACAGCTGGGACGAGTTTCAAAATAGAATGTATGTGAAAGATCTGTGAAAGGAGGAAGAAAGTAATAAAAAATCCGTTTTTAAAGAATTTACATCGAGATATCACATTTAGGATACAATATGATAAGGAAAGCGTTTAAATGAAGATCAAAGTGAGTAAGCACAAGTTAAACATCCACTATCGAGGTTCTCCGTGAGGAGGTCGAACTCAGCAACATGCCTACTGCTTACGTTATGCACATTCCTAACACATTAAGTCTCACTTCGGCAACCGCAAGCAGAAATTCCAATAGCATTTCTCTTCAGTCAAATTCATTTTAATAATGTTACTTCACATGCTTTTTTTACGGCGGCCATCTTGTTATGCGCAGTGCAAAACCAGGGAATCACCTTAATAGAGCATTTTGGAGTGCGGCTTTATTGAGCCGCCATTCTGCACCCCTTTGATTCCTTCGAGATTCAAAATCAGCAACAAGATTTTGTTTACCAGGGATATGGGTAACACTCACCCAGGTGTCCCTAGGTATACACCACTCCCAAATTTCTTTGGCTAATGAATTACAAGAATTGGAATGACTCGTTCCCATATGATTAATTACATTCACAGCAGTGGTATTTATAGCACACATTACCCGAATGTATGTGTTAGCCCAGCCTTTAGCAAAAGTTTGTAAGGCTAAATATATAGCCATTCCAAGTAGTTTCCGTGGTATTGGGCTTCCACATAGGTCCAACTCCCCCCTGTGGATACCCTGTCATGTTCGGCTCCCTACCCTCAGAGGGACGCATCTGTAGTAATTTGATGTTGGGGTTCCACATGTGATATCACATTGTGGGCAGTCATGACATTATCACGCCACGACTGCAATTCACACTTAGCTTGTGAAAGGGACATGTGAGCATCAAAATTTCTCTTTACCTGCTGTAAGGCTAAACATGTCTTTTTCCAAGTGTCTGTAGAACAAGGGTCCGTGCATTACCCCAGGAAAACTAGCCACTATCCTGCCAATTGCACTTGCTACTTCCCTTATAGATAAGGTGGTAGCTCGGCAAAACGCAATACAAACAGTTTTGAGGCCCAAAGCCTTCTCCGTAGTAAGTTGAATTGTAGTAGATAATGAACTAATGATAGATCCCAGAATAACAAGGTCCCGAGAGGGAATGAAACTGGATTTCTCAGGGTGGACAACCAGACCCACCTTATCAAGTAAGACTGTGGTGTCTATAACATTTTTGACACACGTACAATCGTCATAAGTCCGACCTTGTAAATAAAGGTCATCCAGGTGTGCATAGATGTATGCCCTTGTTTGTGTAAAGTGGCTAAGACGGGTTTCAAAATTTTAGTGAACTGGTAGGGGCACACGACAACCCATAGGGAAGACAAGTGAATTCATAAAATTGATCTTCCCATTTAAAACGCAAATACTTTCGATCCTCACTTTTAACAGGGATGGAATAGTAAGCATCCTTCATATCTATTGATGCCATGAAACAATTGGGTGTTACCAGCTTAATTATGGTTTGAAGAGAGTCCATCTTAAAATGATGAGGCATCACAAACTCATTAAAACGTTTGAGGTTAAGTATGAGCCTAAAAGTTCCATCTTTCTTGGGAAACAAGAAAATTCCTGATAAAATCTGACCCGGAGAGTATTTCACTTTCATGATAACCCCTTTTTGGATCAATTTTTTTATTTCCTGTTGAACAACAGAATATTCGTGCTCATTAAAAGCGTGACCCGGAAGCCTGTGTTGATTAGGGTTGGCAGACAACTCAATACTGGCTCCCAAAACATCAGACAAAATTACACGATCATTAGTAAGATCTTTCCATGCTGCAAAATGAGCAGCGACTCGCCCCGCCTTAAAGTTGTGGCAACAGTCATGTAAATAACTTAAAAGGCGGGGCAGACATGTAGGAAAATCACTTACCGAATCTCTTATTGCTAATAGTTGGTCAATTATTTCTTTTCGTTGATCTGAGGCTTTTCTCTCCGTGGGATCTGTGTTGACCTTTCCATAAAAAATCTCTTTTAGGCCTTTTATTATAACGCTCCTGGTGGCCAGAACGGTGGTTCCCAGTATAGGGGCGTCGCTGTGAAGAGTGACCCACAGAGAGGCTAATTTTGCTAGATTCCCTAGCATCCCGCAGTTGTTTGACGAGCTCATCCCGAAGTATTGGCTAGTCAGGGGTACTTGAGCACTGCAGATGGTAGAGTATTTCTGCTTTAAAACAAGCCTGATCTGTTCTCTTCGAAACTGAGCCAACTGGGTGTTGACATTGCCCAAAAAGGCAACAATATCAACAGACTGCGTGATCAAATTGGAATTCGTTGAACCAGAAGCATTTTGCAACAAAACATTAGTTGTCTGTAGGGTCGCAACAGTAACTTTACGCACTACATGTTGCATATTAAACATCTGGAGATCAACTTTCCTTTTATTAGGATTCAGTTGGTTCCATATTTCGGGGTTGACCTTTGTGGCTTTGATGTCTACACAATTTTCAGGTCGCTTATATTGGTCGAGCAAGTTTTTCAACTTGTCTGAAGAGAGTTTCTTCTCCCAACGCTGTGTGGCTATGCCTGCCAGTTGCTGCATGATTTTTTCGCTGGTGGCGTCATCATCCTCATTAGCAATATCTTGGAAGATCTTAGCCTCCGGGACGGGAGTTTCCCGCGCTTGGCCGGTGGCCGATGATGACTGCTCGGTGAGCAGTTTTAGATCTTCATCATCGAGGTCATCCTGCGCATGAAGGCTTCAATCGTCATCCGATGGAGTATTTTCTCGTGCTACTTTAGAATTTGAGCTGCGAGGGTGATGTTCATGTTCTGACTCGGACTCATCAGTGTCGGATGGAGGATCGGCCGATCTTTTCGACCTTTTCCTGCCGCTTGGCCTGCGATCGTCGCAAAACGTGGCTATAAGGCCGGCCATCTGGCCCATTGTTTGATCAATGTTGTTTAAAGAATTTAAAATGTGTTTGTTCGTATCCATATCCACCGTATAAGCTGTTCTCGTCCCATCGGTGGGGACAACCGCATGGTTTGGAAAGGATTCGCCTTCAGCACTCATTTCCAACTGGGAAAACCAAGAACTATAGAACAAAACGAATAAATACAGAAAAGGGACGACCTCTACCTTCTTTGTTGCCCGCAAGAAGCAAGGAAAACGAACTATGTTGAAGATTTGCAAATAAAAAGGCAGGAAAACACTCACGAATGACAAACTAGACTAGCTAAACGCTCAGCACTGACTAGCAATGCGCATGTGCATCTCATGTGAGTTCGTAGTGAGGTAGACTGACGACAAGTTAGAATCTACACTCAGTATTCACACACAAACCTGTGCGTACTAGGGAGTCTGTTTTTAGTCACACGTTCATGCCTTCTAATGCAATTCAAGTTGTTCATAAATGTAAAGCAAATGATCGAGACATCCACAGTCTTTACTTACACGATATTTTGCCTTAGCCCTCCATAGGATCATTGTCAACTGTCACATAACATGATACACTGTAAAAGCTGACCAGTTATAGTGACCCAAAAAAATATTTTTCAACCCATACAAATTTGTTATAATAACCATTTTTTGTGGTTGTGGTGAACCAGTTTTTTGGGGTTCTGGTGATGAATCTGTTGTAACCCATTTAAAATAGTCAAGAGGTGGTATAGCCTGCGAATGGCAGAAGTTTCTTCTCGCTCATCGTAGATGAGGGACGTTTCGCGAGGAGGAACGTCTGCCACTCAGCGACAGAAATTCCATACTGATGACGCAAAATCTGTCCAGAATCCGGACAGAAGAGCTAATTGGTCGACAGAGTAGTTACATTGTTTTAGCTATTGTTTACGAATGACAGACAAAAGACAAAAGGCCGCAGAGGTCAAATGTAAACGCGATGAATCTCTAACAAAACAGTCAATATTTGTGGAATATAGTCTTCTCTAGAAACATGTAAGTTTTGCTGGCGCTCATTCGCAGGTGAACACAACACTTCACCAAAATCGACCAGGAGAAACATAAAAATGAACAAATTTGCATTTGGAACCCCATGACTACCGGATTTAGCTTTTACCATTGCACGTGGGTTAAAAAAAAAGGTTGTTTTAACTGATACTAATGAATCACATTAACCCCACAATAATAATCTTAAGGAACATTTTTAATGGTTATCTTAACCTTTCTCTACAAACAACAACATAGTTGACAACTTCAGAACAAGGGTTATCATACAACACTGCAAGTAAAAATGCCTATGTTTCTTTATACAAGTGTTTAAAGCAGGGCAGGAAATGACTGGATACTCAGCCCTGCGTCTTTAAACTATAGCATTACATTGGAATACTGCATGTCTCNTCAAGTTCTTCTCTGAGTACTCTTTCAAAATTGCTAACCTGTTATGGCATAAGTTGAAACTTATATTTTGCTGTCAATCTTATGACGTCATTTTTGCGCCAAAAACCGTTCAAATCAAAAATCCAAAAACATACGATTGTTGGGAATACAAAGTTCTATTATCATGCAAGGTCTCAGCTCAAACGGTTAAAAATTGAAAAAGTAGATTGAAAATGTTTACTTTTTGATGACAGCTGACCCGGCGTGGATACTCAGCCCTGCGTCTTTAAACTATAGCATTAAATTGGAATACTGCATGTCTCTCACAAGACTGCAAAACAAGGCATAGTTGTAATGCAGAAACATCCTTAAGGTGAACAATTCAAGTAACTCCAAAATCACTAATGATACAGTTAACAGTACTTTGATTAAATTAACCTCTTAAGGAAAGTGAATTTTTCTGTAGAAAATGCTTTGTCGAATAAACATAGGGAATTCAGACTTTTAGGGTGAACTCTTTGCCCACTGTAACTTAGGGCGCTTTCCATTTATCAGAATTGGTCTTCCGAACCATGGCCGTACTAGTCAGATTGAAAATGAAATAGGCTTTTTCAAAGAGTTTTTGTTGAACACGTTCTCCTTTCTTAAATATCATTTAGGATTTGACTGATCTGGCTGGAGAGTTTTGTTTGAAAGTGAAATTATCATTGCGACGGGAATGGTCTGGCCGGTCAGTTCTGACAAATGGAAAGCGCCCTTAGACAAAACATTTTCTGCAGACAATAGATAAGTCGCACATGTATGACTAAAGCGAAGCATATGCTCTTTCAGAGCCCTTCATTTTCCTACAAACTATGTTTATCTAACAGTAAAAAAAGTTTTTCTATCCAAGCAGTGACCCGTTGAGGATAACTCATAATCAGGACTTGTCTTGCCTCATTCAAAGAGTTGATTTATTCTCTCAGTCATTCAAATGTGGTGATATTTCTGAAATAAACGAAAACGTTTCTTTTATAACTTCATTGGAAAATTCCAGGAGGGGGGTGAGGTTAATTTCTTTTTAGAGTCTGATGGGGATGTGCTGCTTGATGGGGTCGCATTTTCACGACTAGATCGACTATAATGGGGTCGCATTTTCAATAGAGGTACTAGAATGGGGTCGCACATTTTCGGATTTTTTGGGTAAGAAAGTTCGTTGGTTTGTACTGTAGGTGAAAAAGTAAAATAAAATTCATTAAATTTAAAACTGACAGTGTCAGTTCATTTTAGGATGACCTGATTGATAAGGTGGTTACATAGAAAGTGACTAAGTTTTGATCGCGAAAATACCATTTGCCCAAAAGTGACTAAAACCCCATTCACACCGAAGCTTAAATATGTTTTAAAGCCGTTTAACTGAACACAATTTGAATTTTCTTTCCTTCATAAAAGCTGCTAACTAACTTAATTGATTGCACATTAGTGCAATTTACAAAACATGTTAAATTCAATTTGAATCCTGTGTGAAACCCTGTGTTCCAGTTTTCGATGTCTAGTTTCCATTTGTTAAAACCTGGTTGAATTAAACATGTTTAGTTGGTGTGATGAGACATAAGTGGCCTATATAATGGGGTAGGGGCTAGGCCAGCGGCACATACCCAGCAATATTAACCCAAGTACCCACCCCGGAGGAAAATTACGTTCTGTTCATCAATACGCATGTGATTTAAGTTAACGTGAGGAACACAATCGCACGCGTGTACGTGGTCATCGTGAGGAACGCGCGACTTAAAGGTAAATTATAAAAAAATACTTTTGCAATAGCGCTCCCATTTTGACTTTTAAAGGTCTTATCCGGGCGAAATATAAAATGTTTCTATTCGCAGCAATGAACCAAGAGCACTGCATTCAGCTGGACGCAAGGCGGTTAAAGTGAAAAAACTGGACTATGAGAGCCAAATTTGGCTTTGATTTTGAGATTCCAAGTCTCTCATTGGCTAGCTGAGTAGATTAACGTAGGGGTGTTAAGTAACGTACCACAGTTGAAAGGAAACAATGCAACAATTTCTAAACTCTGATACCAGATTCTTTTGGTTTCGTTTGTCAATATTTTAACTGCCGGGAAAAGTTATTTTGGCTATTCAATGTTCTCCCTATAATAAATGCTGATTATTTGTTCTTCTTTAAGGGTAAGGAAAAGTCTGTGCCGTTGAAGGTTGGGTGCAAAACTTTTAGTTGTTGTATATTCATACCGGCCATTTGTGTAACCATTTCCTTCTGTGGTTTTCAGTTTATCTTTACTCCTCCGAAAAGCTATTTTGACCGTTCAGTGATTTAACTTACTTCATAGCTCTATAAATAACAGATCGTTATTGGTTAGTCATGACCAATAACTAATGGTTACGGATTTTAACCAATTGTTTTGAGGTTAGATGCACACTTTTACCATTTGTTTAACCATTTGATTACGTTCATTTTGACTGTCATGAAAAGTTATTTTGACCAGTCAATGTTTTAACTGAATTATAACCGTCACTACAACTGCTGATCATTGGTGAAACTGACCCATAGCGACCTTTAGCAATGAAGACGAGAACGAGGACGAGGACTGGTATGACCGATTAGGGCCTGGAACGAAAAACGTCGTCTACGGCGGTATTTCGGCGGGAAACAAAAACATTTAGCAAACCGGTTACGGTACGTGAACGAGTCCCTTCCTACAGTGAAAGTCACCAGGGAAAATGTCTTTCAAAGAATTGCGTGACCTCCTTATACTTCTCTACGGCGATGAAATTATTTCCGATGAAGAGTTTTTGCCACTTTACGATAGTTTCATCTCAAAGAATCCAGATTTTCCCCACGAAAACTATCAACGGTTTGATTTGGATTCTATGAACTCCGCGGAGTGCAAATCAGAGTTTCTTGTCGAGAAACGCGATCTCCCTCGCCTTGTTGCATCCCTCCAACTACCACCGGTGTTTAAATACGAGAAGAGAAGTATTTGCGACGACATGGAAGGGCTATACATACTCCTCAAACGAGTTGCCTACCCATGCAGACTCAGTGGTCTGATTCCGCGATTTGTCCGTCCGGTTTCTGTAATAAGCCTGATCTCCAATGATGTCATCGACTATATTTACGTTCATGGGCACCGTATAACACAATGGAATCGAGATCTTCTGAATCCTGGGGCTTTGCAGCGTTCTGCAGAAGCTATATCAGGAAAAGGAGAGCCCTTGAGAACTGTTTCGGTTTTGTAGATTGAACAGTACGACCAATTTCAAGATCAAATGAGCGTGAGAGAATTGTGTACAATGGCCACAAGAGGGTCCAAGCGTTAAAATTCCAATCCTAGTCCCTACCAAATGGACTTATCGGCAACCTATTTGGACCAGTTGGTGAGTTTGCAATAAAACGTTAGTGTTTTAAACTTAAAAAACCTCCTCCCCCACCCCCCCGGAAAAAAATTCTCTTCTCATGTTTGATTTTAATTTCGTTTCTAGAGGGGCGTAAACACGACGCAGGGATGTTAAACGATTCTGGACCACTGCGGAACCTTCAATAATATGCCCATGATCCAGCAACTCAAGATATGTGCATTTATGGAGATTTGGCCTACCCTCTCCGAGTACATCTCCAAACACCGTCCCGTCGTGTCCCACTTACACCCCTCACGTAGGATTACAACGAGGCTATGAGCGCTTTACGGATTTCTGTAGAATTGTTACTCGGTGAAGTCATTAATTCTTTTAAATTTCTCGATTATAAAAAGAATTTGAAGATAGGCCTTAGTAGCGTCGGTAAAATGTCTGTTGTCTGCGCACTTCTCCGTAACGCCATTACATGCCTTTATGGTAATAACACCAGTGATTATTCTGGTATTGAACCCCCTTCCCTGGAACAATACTTTCAATGAGTCTAGTCTAGCTGTACTGATTTTGATGATGTATTTTCTCCTTCCTGGATAATATTCACTGTAATGGGATGTAAAATATAGACTATAGGAAAGAAGGAATTATACTTTAAAAAAGCACCTTCAATGTACAGGAAGAAAATAAAAGAAAACGACACACATGCAAGTTTTGATTTATGTGGTTGCTATGGAAATGAAAATGTCACATAAACATGATAATGGCTCAAACGAACAATTCCAGATCGATTTGGTGCCTATAGATCAATCCATCAAAAATTTAACAGATTCATTCAAAGACCCC